TAATTGTTACCAGAGCACAGGCCTATTTTTCTAAAATCGTCTCTGGTGGGATTCGAACTCTAGACCTGCTGCTTGGGTGTAACAACTTAACCAATACTCTAAATCGCCACACTCTAACTTTTATATTATTAATAATAATATTAATATTTATTAGAAATAAAATTCATTAGATATACTATTTTTAAGAATAGTTTGAATAATTTATTAAGTAAATATATTTAGCACTCTATTACAGTTGATACTGTCTAATTGCATACTGTCTAATTGCATATACTCTCTAACTGTATAAAAAATTTTGGTTTTAACTATTAATACAAACATGGTTTTTATAATTTAAATGCATATATGCATAAAAAAGGCTCTGACAGATAGCATGCAGTTAGACAATATTAACTGTATTTATTTAAGCTTTAAATTTTCGGATAAAATTTTTTATAGAATATATTAAGAATTAGAAAAAATCTAAACAGTGCACTATGCACTTTGTGCACCCTATAGCAAAATTAAGCCAGCAATAGATATTAGGTTAGGTTAAGATTAGAATTAAAGTTAGGATTAGGGTTAGGGTAAGGTAAAATTGCGAGAGGAACATTTTTGCTTATGTTATATGACAGGGTTACCTAGTCAAATTTTTGAGAAATTAGCAATTTTATAGAAATTTTATAGGAAGGTGCACAAAGTGCAGGGTGCACTGTATAGTGTCGTCCAAGAATTAAAAAGATATTTTAATGAATTTTATCTCAAATAATTTTTTATTCATTAATTATATTTAATATATAAGATATTTAATTACTAATCAAATTTATAGACTGATAAAGTATTAGCTATAAGTAAACTTTGTTGTGATATTTTATATAATAGACAAATCAAAAAAGCTTATGAATTAGATAAAAAATTTTAAAAATTACATATTAATATTAATGGTGAGGCCATGCCTTTATCTTTATTTAATATTTAATTGTGATTATTATATAAAGCACTAATCTACTTTTAAAATATTATAAGAAGAATAAAGACTCAGACTAGTTTATCTGCAGTCTAAACCAAAAAATTACATATTACTAAATCAATTACTCAAAAAGAACTATTAGATTCAGAAAATACTCAAGATTTAAATAATACTGACAATGAACTTATTAACTATGAATTAAATGATTATATAGAAAATAATGATCTAAAAAATAATAATGAATTTATTACAGAAGATAACAATAACCTTATTACGGAAAAAGAAGAACAATAGAATATATTAATTAATGAATGGTCAGCTATAAGTGAACAAGAAAATATAAATGAAGAACAAGTAAGTAGCGAATTAAATGAAATAACTCATTCAGCTGATAATAAAAATGCTAAATGGCCTTTGAATATTTTATTTAATTTAAATTTAGAATTTTCATCATATTAAATTTATTATTTTTATAAATAGTTTAAATTTTTATTTTTTTTTACTATTCAATATATATTACAATATAAATAATATAACGTTTTAGTTATATTAAATTTAATAAATAGCTATAAATAATTATTTGCTACTACAAAAATAGATTTAAAGCTACGAATATTTTAGTTTATAAAATTTAGTTTATATGTATTAGGCTTATAATTTTAAAACTCTTTATATAAATATTTTTATTTTAATTAATTTTTTAGTTATAAATTAACCAATTATATTTTGCAATAATATAAAATAATCTTTAAAAATTCACCAATTATAATAAAAATCTACTATGCTATTTTATTATATTAAAGGTTATAAGTCATATTAAGTTTATTATGACCAAATAGTCATATAGATCATAAAGGTCATATTGGTCATTTAAGGTCATATGCCAACACTGGGTCAAATTGATCAAATAGTCAAACTGGTCAAATTGGTCAAATCTATTATATAAATATAATATATATATTATATAATAAATTATATTTAAAAATGCTATTTGACCAATTTGACTAATATAAATTCTTTGGCCAAACTGATCAAATGGTCAAATTAGTCTGGTCAAATGGTCAGACTAGTCTGATTAACTCAACACTAATTATAATATATAATTAGTAAAGAAAATATTAATTAAATAGAATAAAAGTATTATTTAAAATATTTAATAAAAGCGATAATCACTGGATACAAAAACAAGCAGAAGCAAAATCGAGTAAAACTCAACAAAAGCTATAGAAAACTCTACAAGTAGCTTTAACAAAACAGAAAGAATAACAAAATTAATAGTTAGTAGGCTTAGAAATAAGCAAAGAGAAATCTGTAATAAGCAAGCTACCTAAGAAAAATGAAATTTTGTGAAGAAATTTTGTGAAAAGTGGGATATCAGCTTGACCCTAAATACAGATCTTTCATAGTTGCACAGATATATAAACAAGCAAATACATCTAGAATAGAAAAAAAAACAAAATAAGGATATATATATAAAATAAAAATAATAATAACAAATCATGTGCAATAAATAAACAAAAAATATTAATAGAACCTTCTTGAAAATTAGACTAGATTATCAAACAATACAAGCAGATCTAAATTATTAACAGAGTTAATAGACATTACAATATAGCAATGATAGTTCTTTACGACTTTATAGAAAATAGATATGCAGCAATATCAAAATGTATGATGGACACACAACTAAAAAAATTCACTAAGGAAGTTTTAGTTAGTGTATTGAATGATATAGAATATATAGCAAGAAGCTTAATGATAAAAAACATAGACAAAATCACAAACTCAGAACTAATTGCATATGAAAGATTTTGTACAGCATTAAATGAGATCAAATACAGAAAACTAAAAGAAGGCCAAATAGAAAAGTGGTCAATTAAGGCCAAATGAGTAAGCCAAAACCCAAAGTTAATTAAATACATAGCCAAAATAAGTAAAGAAAAAATCAAAAAAAGAGTTAATAAAATGAAAGGAATTACAAAAATACAAAAAGAAAAAACATACAAATAGAAGAATCTAAAAAA